TTATGATTTATATTTTTCATTTAGAAACTATATTTAACAACCAATATTATATTATATCATGAGGATTTGGAATATCTAACCTGCTGCCTCAATCGACACCTTATAGAATATACACAGAATGGTTAGCGGGCGAGCAGAACGGACTGTGTTAGGATATTTTGACTGCCGAAAGGTTTTGACGCGTTTATATCGATAGAGGTAAAAGGCGAAAACTCGCACGCGCAGTATTATTGTTGGGCCCAGACCGGCGGCAGCGGACCCTCGCCAAATACAAAACAACGCACACCTATACCCTCATGCTGTAAGTATATGTGCCCATAACTTGCGCGACTAGCACGCCACATCGGCAGTCGTCGCTGGAAAAGCGAGTTTACAAAAAAAGAATAACAATATAGAAACGCGTAAAAAACTTAAGCAAGACATTTTACAACCGCCTGCAATGCATGTATAATAGATAATTGTGTACAAGTATGAAAACACACTTTTGGATTATCCACGACGCGACTTTTTCAGCAAAGTTTGACAACCTCAAACATGTTTCCTTTTTTTGTCTGTTACAAACGATTATTTTTTTTTTTAAACAATAAGACACCGTCTCATTATAAAAATGTGTAGTGGCGTATATTTCTATCACATTATTAGCATAAATATGATTCTCACTCCACCATAATATAGTTTTAGGGTATGAGACATTCGGCGCACAAGTTATACGATGTAAGAACTATGGTAACTATACCGACTACCGAAGTTGTTCAAATTTATTGCCATCTATTTAAGTTTAAATTTAAATTTATTATACCCTACACCTATACAATAAACACAAAGCCGTGCCATGCTATAAACCATAGGTAGCCAACTTGCGGCTCGTGAGCCACATATGGCTCTCGTAATTGTCAGGTGCGACTGACGTCTTATTTATAAAATCAAAAATTTTAATTTTTTTGGTATTAGATCATAAAAAATTATCAAATTATATAAAATGTATATAATATAAACTTTTTGGCTCTTAGTATTATTGTATTTTTTTAAGTGGCCCGGGAACCTATTCATATTGACTACCCCTGCTATAAACTATTCAAAGATAAAAAATGTTATCAGATTTTCTTTAATCCACTTAACGGTTTTCTTTTTAATCGATAGGTATATAATTAAATGTATGATATCGTTTATTTCGTAATAAATAATAATATCGACATCAACGACAACGACAACGATGATATAATTCACAGCGATAATGCACTAATGGTAAACACACAATATAATTAGATATTACTAAGCACTAAAGCATTATCTCGTAGTTTACTTAATGTACCTATATTTTACTCTTTCGTTTTTAGTGCGGAGAGGATTCATTTGAACTTTAATGATATATGTTTTTATACTATAGTAAAGATAAAAAAATCTCATTATACTATAGCGTAACGCGTTTTAAAAGTTAATTACAGTTTTTTTAAATTAGTTTAAATTGATATTTATATAGATTTAACGATAACTATATAGTTTCCATCATTCATTATCTTGTAAAACAGAAAAAAATTCAAAACAAAACGAATAAATAAATAAATTTAAATCACCAACGTTTCTTTTCTCCTCTCATTTAATTACAATATAATACCCATGTAGGTAGCGTGTACTTGCCTTCTATAATAATTAAGATGTTTTAATACTATAATGTATTAATGGTATGGTCAAACAATTATATATCAGCTATATACGCAGCAACGGGAATGGGAAAATAAAAAAATATCTATAGGTATATGTTGACGCAATAAGCTATTTTTACCACGTACCTATCAAACCAATTTAGGCCATTTTACGGTAAAGCGCTACTTTCATACTGATTAATGACAGCTAACAATATTTATAATTTATATAATAATGCGTTTAAAAAAAAAAAAAAAATTCAACCTACAAAGCCAAAAATAAATAAATTACTAATAGCAATATAAAATTGTTTTTTTTTCTAAACCATTCAACTTCTAACAAAATCTTTGACTTTATTTATGTTTTTGTTTGTATACTTTTAAATCATTTTGGTTTTTTGCTTAAATAAAGACTGCAGTCTTCGTTTCCTCGTCATCTTTTATAGTTCATTTAATTTTTTTGTTGTTTTAAATATATTTACTTGTGATATCTTTCGATTTTTTTATTTTTTTCATTTAGTAATAAAGTTTTTTGATTTTATACACATTTATAATATTTTTACTAAATAATCATTTATTATAATTAAATCAATAGTTATTAATTTATTGGGTTTAAAATATTTAAATATCAGAAGATTAAAAAGCTTCCATTTCACTATGAATTTATAATTCTCAACTTGTTTGCTTCTTAAAATTAAGTTTATTATGTGGGCCTTAGATACTCCCCTTGATTTTTTCCTATTAAAGTCTTTTAATTTATAATTATTTATACATGCCATTTCTCCTCTAGTCAGTTTTTCTATATAATTTTATAATCAAATTAATTAATTTTTATACTTTTTAGGTGAACTCTAGCTAAGTCACATTGAAATAATCATTCAATATATATAAGCTTCATTGTTCTTAATTTTTGGGGATTAAAAATTTGATTGGATTGCAGTCTTTGGTTCCATTAAAACATACTTTAATCATTTACTATTTATAATATAAATGCATGCAGTATGCACATTTAAATGCGACACATTTTCGAGACTTTAAGAGGTATATACCGCTTATTTGTACACAATTGGCAGCCAAATAAACATATCGATAAAATGCGGCGTAAGTTTAGTGGAACAAAGCAATATATTATATATACACGCTATCTACTATCTACATATATACAGAACTATTATTAAGTACAATACACATATATGTGTATACATGTATACATACCTGCAAGTTAGGGTACGCACGTACCTATTTATGTCCACTCAAAATCCAATCGGTATACATTTTATAGCGAATACGAACAATAGCGTCGACATATCTGGATGGATTCCAAGCCTAAGTGGGCATTTTCCCGCGACGGTGATTACAATAAATTCTACCGTTGCATAGAATAGAAAGAAATCGAAGACACGATAATTTAATATGGTCGCTAAATCCTTATGCGATCGACTGTGCCGGAACTAAGTCTCGTATGATTGAAGAACAATTACACTAGCCAAAGGTAGAAGATTTCTAGTAAAAAAAAAAAAAATACATGGCTAATTATCGCTTTTTTGTTGAAATTAACAATAATGTAATATAAAGTAGGTACCTATTTACTACTAGACACTACCTAACTATTGTTCTCATAAATATAAAAATTATTGTATTTTTGTAAGATAAAATTACATAATAGGAATCTAATAATAAAAACTTAAAATGTAGAAAAACATTTACGTATACACACCTGAATAACACTAACAGCAAGTATCTATAATGAATGTTTTTAACGTTCACTTTTTTGACCCACATTAAATTTTTAGCGTTACAGTTTCAACTTCACATTTTTATAAAAAAAAAACTTTTTTTGACAAGAAATTTAATTTTAATTATTTTTTATAATTAAATAAATATAAAATAGGTACTATTTGAAACTTTTCGCTATTACCTACTCATTGCATAACAGTATTATATTTTCTATACACGATGATAATTTCAAAATATACTAAATTTAAGTTATCTATTCATATTTTGCACCAGTTTACCTTACACGTAGTACGTACCTGTATACAGTATTCGTAAATATTAAGTATTAACCATAAAGCATACAGTGGTATAAAATTATGAAATAATATGATAAGTATAACTAGACTAAAAAATTAATAACAATAATATTTTGTACATATTATATCGTTGTACGATTGAGCCTTACTATAATTAGTAGTTACTCATACAAAAATAAATTAATTTGTAACTAGGTTCTAAACAATAAATAATTAATCTCCTTAAATAAATCGCAAACTTTATTGCTACAATACACTATAGCCAGTGCAGCCACTTATCTAGTCTTTCACTGGGTTGCCATATATTCTTAGTTGTAAACTTTATTTAGGAATCTGTGTATTAGAAATAATAATAATTAAATTCACTCGTAGGTATAATAATTTTAAAATATTTTGTAAACACAACATGTCAACACATCAGGAAAACAAATATGATGTCCGAAATTTTGTCTTTATTTACATTTGTCTTAAATGTGTCTATGAGGTTGATTTGTGTAGTCATCTCAATTCTCTGCTATCTACACTCTGGCGACTGGCACTTGAATGCAAAATTAATAAAATAAGAGTGCAAGTTGCATTATGAAACTAAACACGAAAATTAGAAAACACCTTAATAGAACAAATACCAATCACATTACCTGTGGCAGTGGCGTACTCACGAGGGGAGGGGGGTTCATGGAGTTCATATGAATATGAAATAGAAGTATAATTTGAAGCAGTTAGCAATTCATGGAGATGTACCATTAACAGCAGAGGAAGTGTTGGACGATCTGGCAAAAAAGCCAAGAAGATTTTTTATTACCATAATTGTAATTAATGTGCTATAAGTAATAAGTAATAAAATCTTTTAAAACAATACAAATTATTATGACTAAAGGGGTGTGGGGGCAGAGCCCCCCACTTTTGTATTTTAGTAAATTGTCAGACCCCCTCCCATAGAAAATTCCTGAGAACGCCACTGACCTAAGGTAAATAATAATTATTAAACAAACTATACAACAGCAAATAATTCCAAAAAGTTAAAATTAAGACTTTTAAGAGTAGTGTAAAAATCAAACTATATTTTAAGATAATAGTTTTTGTAAGAGTTACATTCAGTAATCTTAATTTAAAATTTTTTTTGTATTAATTGTTAAATTATCTAGTCTTGAATTTTTGTGTTAGTTCAATATACATAATAATTGATAGCTTCTTAAATATTTTTCAAAAATAAAATAAGGATAAAAAAAATGTAACACATATTATATGTTTGCAATGCAAAAGATAAAATGTTTTAATACAGTAAATAAAAATGTAATTTATCACAAAATAAATCTTAAATTATTTACTTATTTATTTTCTTCTTTTTAATTGCTTTAGTAATTTTATTCTGTAAAATGAATAAAAAAATTGTAATTACTAACAATTATATAAACATAATAAAATGCAAACAAATATAAAATATTAATACAAGTTCATACTTACATTTTTAGTTTTCAGAGATTTATTTTTATTTTTATCATCTGGAATAACCTTTTCTACATTTTTTTCATTAGTTTCTTTGTTTTTCTGTTTCCTTTTATTTTTTGACTAATAAATTAAACACAATTAATATATAAATAACACACAACATATTTTTCATTTACTAAGATACCTGTAATTTTTTTGTTTCTTCAAATTCCATTAAATATTCTTCTTCAGCGTCATCACCATCATCTGCTTCAGATTCAACTTCATCAGACTCTAAGCCACTACTTTTAATTACTTCCTTTTCATTTTCTTGATCTATTGAAACATCAGATTGCTATAATTAAAAACAATTTATAATTAATCCAAAATTTAAAATTATGCAAAAAATATAAAAATAAAATACATTATAATTATTAAGAGAATATTTTTTATTTCTATATATATTTTTTATGGTTGGTTATATTATATGCTAAAAACTGAATATGTACGTTTATATATTTTCATATTATATGTATATCATAATGTTGAGAATTAAAATAACAATTTTTATCCACTTCTACATTTGTGTTTTTAGAAAAGATTAAAAAACTCATACTATTTATTTTATCAAATTTATGTATTATATTCAAATAATTCATAAAAATTATAGATTAATTCCATATTATAATGTTTAATTGATACTGCACAATATAATATGACTAATGCAATTTTAAGCTTTCTATTTATCAATAATTCTTTAAAATTCACTATTTAGACAAAAGTATTTTAAATTTTAAATACATTTTTTATATCATTTATATATATATTATATATATATATATATATGTCATTTCAATACATAATTATCAATGCCCTAATTATTCAAGTATGAATATAACTAACTTCATCTTCTTCGTTATTTTCCTCAACAGATTCTTCACTGTCATTTTGATTATGTATTTTATTAGAAACATTATCGTCATTGTCATCATCAGATTCATCTTCAGATCCCTAAAAAAAAAAAATCAAATTTAACTCTTCACAAATAATTTAATTAACTCATAAACTAACCGACAAAATTGTGACATCTCCATTAGGTTTTACCAATACACGTTTTCCAAACAATTCTCCTTCAACTTCTTTATCCTTAGAATACAATGTAGATTTAATGTATGGTCCATTAACTTCATTTCTAGATACTAAATAATAATTTGTTAATTAAAATTATTGTTTTTCTTTTAAATAGATACTCACTCAGTGAATAATATATAGGCAATGATTCAGAAGTTGGACCCTTAATCAACAAACACCTGATATTTTTCAAACCGCCTGGATAACTATGTGCTAAATTATTAAAGGTAGCTACAATATTTTCAGCCACTTGCTTAACTGTTTGTTGCATATGACCAACCTAGTATAATTACAACTTAACGTTATTAAACATTCACAGGTAATAATCAACATTCATTATAGATTGTATAACAGAACATTTTTAATTATTTTACATAACATTGAGATTATAACTAAAAAACAAAAATTTAAAATAGGTAAACATGATAAAATAACATACTTGAACAGTTTTTGTAGAGCCTCTGTAATCCAGAAAAAAAGATGTCTTATGTAACTTTGATTCTATTTCAGCTTTCAAGTGTTTTTTTGTTAATTTAACAGTTATTGGGAGCCTGAAAAAAATATTTATTATCTCAAGGTCATAGATTTTTTCAAACCATATATTATAATATATTCTCAACTTACTTTCGTTTAATATAAAATTCTTTTCCTAATTTCTTAACCAAAAACCCACTTATCTTCTGATCAATTAAAAATATATCATGCGAATTACACAAATTTCTTCTAGCTTCATACTCATTAAATTCCACGCGAATTTGTCTTGCTGGCAAAATCTATAAAAAAAAAAAAAAAAATGAATTAATCACTTTTTGTAATTTTATGTATTTTGTTTCATTAAAATTGAACACAAATAGTTGTAATCTGCTATTTTATTCAAAACTCTAATAAATACCTACAATATGCATTGAATTGTTTTTTTTTTAATTTAAATATTTTAAAATTTTATGTTCTTGTAAAACGTTGTATAACTTATATCAAAATGTCTTATGTATAACATTAAATAAATGTATATTACATTAGTATTTTGAATTTAACTTTATATATATTACATATTTTTAGATAACTAATTTTAATTTAACTTACAGTTTTTATATTTTTAATGCCATTTTTTGCCAATAAATCTTTATAATGATGATATGTTTTCTCATGATCCACATTCCGACCACGTACAAGATCTGGTACTATGAGGCATATATCTGTTGTATCAGTAATCAGTGAATTTGGTAATGCTCTAAAGAATACAATATTTATTACACGTAAGAAATGCTTAAGAAAAAAAAATTTTAAGCTTACATTCGAATAACACGTTTTGGACCAACTCCTATTTTAACTCCTGTAATCACTAAATGTATTGGTGTAGCTTCATCCCATAATTCGGTTTTTGGTAAATTTGAATCATTTTTTATTAATGTAAAAAGGCCATTAACAGCTGCTTCAACCTATAAATTAAATGTATAAAAATTTAATATTATTAAAAATTATTATTATTGTGTAAAAATAAAGAAGTATAAATTTACTTTTTTTATATCAAGTTTAGGTTCACTTTCATTAGTATTCACTTCCGTTGTTAGATTGGATTCAAGTAGTTTAGATTTCATTGACATCTTTGATGATCCTTCAACTGTATCTTTCTTAATTTTCTTCTGTTTAGGTTCCACAACAGTTTTCTTGTCTTTTTTTTTCTTGTCGACCGTACTTTTAGGTACCTTACCATCGGGTTTTAATTTGTCCTTGGATACAGTTTTTTTAACAGGTTTTGGTTCTTTTGAACAAGAAATCCCCGTTAAGTCGTTTCCAGACTTAAGCTCTTCAAAGGCATCGGTGATTTTCACTATGTTTTTCAAAACACCGCCAGTAGGTTTTGAAAACTTTTTCTTTTGTATAGCACCTGCCAAAGGTTTTTTTGTTGGCATTTTTTTGGATGGAAGAGTTTTAACTTTCATTGTGAATATGTAAATACTAAATCAAATAAAAAATCAACTAAAAATATTTTGATGACTTCAATGAGATAGAAGATAGAAGTACAGAACACGTGCTATTCAGTATCTACAAACAAAAACAAACGTTATCGAAAAACTCCTTATCAATATTAGCACGCAAGCGTGTCGTTTTAATAAACTCTAAATTACTTTTACTTGGAACATAAGTTCTCCTGAAGTGTGATAAAAATTATTGGGATTTTTACTTTTTAATGTTGGCATTACTGGCAGTTATAAATTCAAAAAATGAAATTAATTTTTTTCTTATCGGTCATCACTCATCAGTAATTTCAAATTTGAAATCTCATATTTTCATCACTTCTGGTTTTCGCCGTCTTCGGATGTTCGGACACGAATCACGATATGAAAATATATAGGAATTCACCATATGTCCATATCTAAGATTATTTTGGGAAAAAATAACAATGACCAAGCACTAAGCAGACAGCTGTTTTATATGCTCCCAAGATTGAAATAACTAATAACTATTAACTACTCATCTATTTTCTTTTAAGTAATTAATATTCAATGATCAATGATAGTACCTACTAACCTACTTATCTCAAATTTAAAAGAAATAATTTTTTCGGAATTTGTAGTAACATATTTTATTAATACCTACTATATCCTACTATTTAATAAATAATAATAAATGTAATGTTTTCGTCAAAAATTAACTCGACCTAATAACTAACGTATTACCTACTAATAATAGTAAAATAAATTATAATGGGTAGATAGTAAACAATTTTGAGGATTTGGAGTTCGTCATAATCACGAACATTTGCAAATTATTTTATTATTAAATATCCCTAAATTATTTTAATATTCATACCTATAATATTTGGAAAAGTAATATTTCATTCAGTCCCGGTGCTCAAGTTAGTGGATAAGTGGGTATAAATATCACATAAAATTTTGTTTTTTTAAAAAATAGTTTTTCCGGGGTCTTTTGATGTAAATTTTTCAAAAATGATAAGATTGCATAAAAAGGTACATTATATCAAACATTTTAACTTGTTTCAAACAAGTTTACAAACTCCTTAAATTCTAAAAAAAAGGAAATAATATAAACTAGGTTTTTAAAAAAAAAAAAAATCAATAGGTGGCTGTGGGCCCTATAAGAAAAAAAATTGCATACCTATTTTTACTTTTTCTTATGCTTAGTTTTCCGACTTTACATCTACTGGTGAATGTTAAGTTTTGAAATTCAAAACTTATTCTTTGAATAAGTAAAACTACTCATACAAATTTTTGTGGTTATGAGAAAGGGGTATAGAGGAATAAAATAATATTTTTATTTTAAGTAATTAAAAAAAAATTAACATTTATTTATAAAAAAAAAAATAACAATCACATTTTACTATGTTAATGCATCATAATTATTTTAAAGTAAATTTATATTATATACAATTATTAATTTAAAAAATATTTTATAGCACAAAATCTATTTGTCGGTTTTTTTCTTTAGCGAAACGATCAATAACTTCAGCCGGATCGATATGAATTTACCTATGAACACTCAAAAGAGCTAAACCTGTAAATCGTTCTTGGCCTGATGAGTTGCAACATAGTTATTAAATTATTAGGTATATATAGGTAGTATAGGTACAAAAATGGCCACATGGTAAATTAGTATAATTAAGTTACTTATATAAATTTATTAGTTGTAAAATATTTCCGGGGGGGGGGTTGAACCCCCAAAACCCCCCTCATATACGGCCTTGAATCCGATTTATTTTCAATATTTTTTTTATATAGCCGTTCGTCCCAAAACATTTTGTTTCAATAGGTACCTTACGCGATCGTATCATTTGTATCAATTATCCATGTTCCTAATGTAACGTCCCCTCTTCACATGCGTGTTTGCGCGCTCTCGCGTCTTCTTACCTATAAAGTTATGTTTTGATTAACGAGGTCTCGGGGACTCGACCTCGGTGTGTAATATTAATATACTAGATCAGGGTTACCTTATTTAAGTAAAGCACAATTGTATAAAATGTAACGTATATTTAACAGATAATTTAAGATTTATATAATAGAATGAAGGTTACCGATCCGGGTAGATTGACAAGCCGTGAATGTGGATGGTGGATGGCTGCACGGATCGTTGAGGAGTCTTCTGGTCGTCTGTCTGCTCCTGGTGTCGCACACACACTCTCCTGGTGTCGCACACACACTCCTCGCACACACTCTCCTACACTACACGTATTCGTCCTTGTTATATACCTTAAACTGCTGCCTAAAAGCCTTAGGTCAGCAGTCGGCCCGGCTTGCCATTCCTCACACTCAGCGTTTTAACAACGTGTGCCCTACTTAAGGAATAATGTACGATGTCGATAGACGACAATCGTTACACTAATAAGCGGCTTCAACTGTTGATTGGAAATTTAATTTTTAACATCTAAATACAATTATTAATGGTATTTAGAAATTATCACTTTTATTAAACCAATTTAAGATAAGATAATTTAAACTTCAAATAAAGTTATTTTTTATTTATTAAATATATTTAAGTAAACATTTCATTAATATATAAGAAAAATTGATTATGGATTTTATAAATAACATAGGTACACAGCTAATATTATGAATATATACATATACATAATATATATATATATATATATATATATGTTATCACTGAAGTCTCAAATGTTACTTTAAACAAAATACATCGCATAAAAACAAAAAAAAAAACAAAATCCTTACGAATGTCTTAAATATTTTAACATAATAAATTAATATAAATTATTCAAATGTGCATGGCAGGTTGTATAGTACAATAGAAAATACACAAAATATATAACAATTATTATTATTATTATAACGAAAATACCAATAATGTATTAGGTACTTATTAATAATTTTACCATGCTATTATACAAACTGAATATTTCTTGTTATCAATGCAGAATCATAGGTAAATAACAAAATGAAAATTTTTTATTACAAAAATAGCTTAATAAGAAAATAAGATATAAATAATTTATTTAGATGATTCTTTTTTTTCTGTTAAGCATTGCAAAGCATTTTTTGATATATAACTATTATTTGTATTTAACTGGTGATAGCTTAAAAAAACTGTATAAGGTATTATGAATTATGAACTATGGTAAGTACTGAGTTTTCATTTATTTTATTATATTTTAAAAATTATTACTATACACATAAAACATATATATTCACCTAAAACATGGCACATTAATTAACAATATTTGAGAAAACAATAGAATAAAATATACAAAACCAAATAATTAAGAGATTAGATTGGGCGGATTATAAGTGCGATTGTATTAAATAACTACTACTTAATATATTCATATCAAACATACATTTTCAATTTTGTATTCAAATATGTTTTACTTCTAAAATTACTAACATTATCACAATTTGTCTTGGTAAAAATTCCTGGAAGGTAACTTATATTTATTTTCCTTAATTTGTAATAACGTTCAAAATAAAATATCATAGGAATTAACAGATTAACAGAATACAAATATTCAACATAGTGATCTTAAAAATTTCAATAAATATAAGTGATTGATTATTTGGTAATTACTTATTATATCCAATATCCATATGTAAAAAAATATGAAAAAAATTATTATTTAAATATTAAATAAATTATAAGAGAACATAATTGATACTACTATTTTTGAATATTATACTTTGTATAACATAAAATAATTAATTTAAATAAAATAAATATTTTAAACAATGAGTGATTATCAAAAAGGTACAAGAATTTACAATATATTCATATCCAAAAATTAAATTAAAAGCTTTAAATAATACAATTATAATTTATGTGACATTTCAAGGTTTTGTATAAAATGTTATAATAAAAATAGTTACTTTTTTTTTTTTTTTGGCACAAAAAACACTTAAGTCTTATATAAATAAAAATTTAAAATTTATAATAAACTGCCTTATATATATGCTTGTAATTCTTAAAATGTGTAGAATTTAATTTTTGTTCATTTTATAAATTGAGTTATTTCACAAATGATGTAAAACATTTATAATAAAAAACCATAAAATAAATTATTAATTTTTAAACAGCAAATGTATACTTACACCCTTTTAATAATCACTCTGCATTATTTAAAAATTAAAGATTGCTAATGATAGCACAAGTTTATAAAAAATAGAAAAAAAACAATGACTTAAACAGATATAAAATACTAATAATTTTTTAAAAAATCAAGTATCTAACATTTAAATACTTTCAATGTATTTTTTTCTATTCATATCAAATACTTTTGATTTAGGATTTAAGATTATTTCAACTTTGTTTTAAAAGTCAGACTGTGAGAATAAGTCATTATTTATGTCAACATTGTACTAACAAAATTTCTGAAAATGTGAACTCCAATAACAATTTTTCTTAAGTTTCTCATACAAATTAAGTTATTAACATAGAATCTATCATTTAATTAAACTTGAGCGAATCATAAAATGGCTATATTTTGATTTAGGGTATTATAGTATATTGATTGAACGGTTAAATTATACTTTGGTCAGTTGTGTTTAAAGGTCAGTCAATTAAAATAATATATGCATGATACATAGGATAAAAATATTAATGGAAGACTTCAAAAGTTACGGTATGAATCCAAAAAACTAGCAAAGTCACAATTATTGTTGCCTCAACATTAGCTTGGACCAGCAAATTGAAAAAGTTTGTATATTTATAACATTTAAACTGCAGGTATTATAATTACAAAACGACAATAAAACAAAGACCCAGATTCTGATTATTCAAAAAATCAAATATATGTATAACGAATACATTGCTTATTTACGGATAAAATATTTTGAGATATGTAGCATATGAATCGGTCTAAAATCGGTCATCAATGTTGATTTCATGTTTCATATTGTTGGTCCCATAAATACCTTAAAAATATACATTGTGTTTGTATAATAGGTATAAACTGTATCATATGTATGATATATAAAACGTATCAATTTAGGGTTGATTTACAAGCACTGTTTGGGATTATGTATTGTGGACATTGAAATATGAGATATAAATCATAAACCCTTAAACAAAAATTAGTAAAAAAGTTTTCACTTTACAATTTTAAAACACAAGATAACAAAAAAAAAAAAAAAACGATTCCTATTTAAATTTCTTTACTAGGTATTACATATTAATAAACTCACTACTCAGACCTGTCATCAAACGATGTCGGTGAGAGTTAAAATCACAGACCTGTGTATTTGTGGTGTGTGTGTGTGTGTATGTGATGTGTGTGTGTGTGTGTGTGTGTGTGTGTGTGTGTGTGTGTGTGTGTGTGTGTGTGTGTGTGTGTGTGTATTATATTATATAAGTTCTATGTAATAAAATACAATTAAAGTATATAATTTATTGTGTATAAAGGCACCGAATAATCTTCGGCGAAAATCCGATTCATGTAACAGAGGCTAGAACTGAGTAGCTGACCGACAGATTAATACTATAGATACACCGTTTAAAATTTAAACCCGTAAGTATTTAAAGTGATCTATTATATAATATCGTCTATAAAATTTACGAATCTAGTAAATATCGTATATTATATCGAACGCATTCTTTTTTCGCGTAAAAAATCGATCCTTTTTGCAGGCGAGACCGACATTTTCCCGCTATCGATTCTCTTCCGATAACGATATGCAAACGGCAAAGAGTAAAAATTAAATAACATACTTTTGTCTATAAATAATAATATATGATTCACGTTGTCCTAAAAACAAATGTGTGTGCGCGTGCGCGCACGTGTTTATGTGTGAGTAAAGCAGATAAGCAGAAATCTCGATCGTCTTGTAGCGGTGATGCGGCGTCTTCTCCATTATTACGCGGTCAATAGCACTCCCGGCGTTGACGGGGTGGATCTCCTTTGTCGACGTTTGATGACCCACGGCAAGAGGCAGCACCGGACGATGGCCGTGAGGATACCGACCAGCGTGGTGATCAGACCGGAGAAGATCAACACGAACTTGTACTGGGATGCGTCGGCGCCCGGCTTCAGCTGAACAAGCCCGACGATCAGCAGTATGGCCCCGATAAGTATGGTCACCACGGCTATGTGCAGAACGGACACCTGTGGCAAACATATCCGTACGGCATTTGAGACACACGTTTACGGTTCGGCCAAGCGAATAAACAATTACTCAAATGGAATTTGCAAATATCGTGAAAACGAATACCTTTGTTGTCCCGCTCGGATCGACCGAAATGGCTCTATTTCATGCAGTTTTTTTTTTATTTTTATACCCTGGTGAACATAAATATAATATAAAATAAAATGAAAAATGCAAAAACAAATAAATAAAGCAAAAATAATAATAATAAATCTATGACTAATAATATCACAGTATATAATATATTTATATGTAAAAAAATAATAATAATAACAACACAACGAAAACCGAATAATTTGGTTTTTAATTATTCGATTTAGGTTATTTGTTTGAAACAAAATAGCAATAAATGATAAAAACAAAAAATAGAAGATAATGTATTTTAATATCTTATATACGTCCATTCGCAATTAGCATGCGTATACGATTTACCATATTATACTTACGTACGTCTAATGATGTTTTAAATACTATTTCAATTGCTACAATATACTAAGGAAATCTTATAGATATATTGGAAACAAGGTGTCAGTAACGATGGTACATTTATATAGGTACCTACCACAGAATTATAATTGACAATATAATAACTTTTCTGCTTATCAATATCATTGACATTTTTTTTTTTTTTTTAATTGAAAAATTATATTGTTAACTAATTATTTACATTTTTATTTTACAAATACTATGTATTTGTTTTTAATTGTGATTTTTACTAAAATGTAAATAAGATTGATTAAAACTACAAGATTTTAAAACATTTCGAAACGAATAACATTGTAAACATAATATTTAATAAACGTATAATAAATTATACAAAAACATGTAGACTATGCAGATTAGGATACTTTTGAAACTTTAAGGTGGAAACCTTAAAACTTTAACTTTTTACAATTGAAAATTACAATATTCAACATATTTCTTCGAAAAATACATAGGCATACAGCGATCAATTCAAAAAGGATATAATATCCCAAATGATTAAATACAACGCACATTTTCATTCAACAATTTGGACAAGACAGTTATAACAAAACAACAATCATTAATTCATAAAAATAACAATAATCATAATTTGGAAACGGATGAATACGATAATTGAGAAATTTTCATACGCGGTACCTATCTTAAATTGACCCTTTAATACCTACAAAGAGCGTATGTTCTCACAATTCATAGTAAACTCGTATATACTGCACCAACCGCCAACCATACAGTATATAATAATAAACATATTAGACAAAAAGAGAGAAGATTTAAGTTAATCATCAGTTATTGCGTTCTTGGTTGATTTTATTATTTGTCAAAAAAAAAAAAAAAAAATAATAAAATAAATGTTTTTCTCATACACATAATATAAACTGTTTAAAGTACCTAATTATTAATTCTTATACAATAAAACACGACATTTTAATGATAAAAATAATCTAATAAGCAGTTAAAAAATTTAAACTTTAAAATCAAGAAAAATGGAGTACTGTATCACGCATTTTCAGGGTACTTTAACATTATATATTTATATAATCACTCGTATCTTATGAAAACTTTAAATTCTTGTTAGAAAAGTTCGAAGTTGCTTCGGATTAAGAAATTAAAAACATAGTTAACTATTGAAACTATAATTGTGATATAATTATTTTAAAAGTTTAATTAGTGCTGTAGAAACTTTTTTTTTTCTATTCAATAAAATCGACTAACATAATGACCAATTTGTGTTAAAATAATCGTATATGTCAGCAAGCTGACTGGTACACAACGTTGGCCAAAGGCTAATTATAATAACAAAATACACATCGTTAACCCTGTGGGTGATGAGGGATATGTGCGGGAAATAGTCGGCTTACTTTTGAACAGACGTATATATCTGGCAGTGAGTTTTGGACGTACGGCGGAGATGTGATTGGTGTACCAGTCTGGGAATGAGGTGACTGCAATGTTAGAAGACTCGGTCTCCGATTTCCAGTGGTGTTCGATGTGCCTTCCCGGTCACCGGTATTCAGATTATTCACACACACAACTTTTTTCTCCTGCCTCCGCCGCTCGTGGCGGACGGCCACAGCAGGCATTGCTCCAATCATGGTTATTTCGTCTGTATTTTGTATAAACCGTGTAAATAAAATTAAAACGAAAAAAAATACATAATAATATTTAAGAAACCCGCTATTACATAGATAAATGTGTATTATACTTAAACATCATAATTTATTCAGTTATTATCATGTTATATCAATGTTACAGATCTTTTCAACAGCCCCAACGATGTATCTACAGCACAGTACACAGATAGCTGTACCCAAAGGCCAAAACAAATACATAGGTACCTAATAGTAATTTTTTTTTTTTTTAATTTAAAAATGATCATAACTTGCTTCAAAATAAAAATATCAATAAGTCTCTGATGAGAAAACCCTAGATAATTATCTTACATTTAATTCTGAATTCCTGAGTAAATCCAATCTAATTTTAAAAATAACAGAGTAAAATAAATTATAGTAAACGTAAAATTTGATGTGTTGTAAGTTTGTATAACAAAAACATAGGAATAAGGTTTTCCATTAATTATTTTTTATTTTACCAATGAAATGATACTAAATTCCGATAGTGATTTAAATAACCGGGTTTTAAAGATCGAGTTTAGTCTTAATCCTACAATCTGGAAGAGCAAATAAAACAACATCTTACAATATGAAGTAAGTTTATAATCGTTCAAATAAATTAAATAAATTTTATTTTAACTAAAGTATAATAGTTAGGCTTTAATATTAATAAAATTATAAAATTAGTATTAATTCTGATAAAATAATATTATATATTAGTTAGAAATATATAGTAATTATTATATTATAAAAAGAGCATTTGCTCATGATCATAAAAATAAAAATTATAAAAGATTAAATTTTATTATGTGAAAAAAAAATATTATTCACAGGTACAGTTGTTAATGTTTATATTCACTTAAAAGTTGACTCAACAAAAAACGATTTCAAAACAAATTATTTACCTATTGCTATAAAAAATAATACGTAATATAAATAGTCAACAAGCTATATGTCATATTGTTATAACAACTATGCATTGAAGTAGGTATTCAATTTAAATCTTTATAATAATATATGTACTTTTAATTAACAGATAGTTGAACTTTTAACACATTAAGACCATCATAATTTTAATCATAATAATATGACTGCCAAAATTCGTAATTAACGATATAAATTGACAATATAACTGACATAACATGTTATATTATTATTAGTCAAATATTTCATACAAGTGTGTAAAAAGATATAATTTTACTAACTGTCAAATGCAGTTTTTATATAACAAGTATTAAAATGTTTTATAAATTGTATGTTACAAAAATTATAGCCCATGGAAATCACATTATATTATTATGTAACATCTTCTTTGTTTAAAAAGTCAAATTTAAGTAGCTCAATTATTACCCAACTATAAAATAATTATTTATTTTTAGAATCCTAACAAATATAAAACTGTTAACAATACATTGTCTCAGAGATTCATTGTTAATAAATAGAATTATAACTTTTATACTATTATAATAAGTTCCAAATATGACATTTTTTAGATGATATTTCCCATATTCAAATTAAGAACTTAAATATTTGTGAATATAATACATACTGTAATAATTATAATAATATTGAATCTTTATTTAAGAAAGTTTTACTATAGGATTAGTGTTACTTTTGCTAATTCATATAAAACATATCAATTTGATTTTCATTATAATTTATAGCTAAAATTATAAGTATTAGATTTACATAATAATATAATGAAGTCATACTAGTAAACGCTTTAAAAAGGTGTATAAAATAAACATTGTTTACTATTTTCAATTGATAAAAAAAAGGAATAACAAGTAACAAGGGTAAATTATTTAATACTTCATAAAATTTTATGTATAATTGAAACAGACAATAATTTGACACAAACATAATATAAATAACTAATTAGTATTCTGTATTAAACCATATAAATTCATACATAACCTCAAACAACCAATTAAGACAGCTTTTTCTTTCCCTTAAGTTATAAGTCATAACATAACAATACCTGTACAGTATGCATATTGAGAAACAGTTTTCCCAAATCAAATACTGATTATTTATGTCATTCGTAACAAAAATCGGTAATAAAACCAACTGTAGCACAAATAAATAAGAAAAATAATATATGATTAAAAAACTTTATTTTATTATTTTGATGAATATTAAAATGTCATTAATAATTGTTTTAATTAAAATATGTTAAGCAATCATAAATAAATATAGTAATTTTAAATAAATTAGTTCTACTTAAATAATTATATAGTTGAATGATATAATAAGTTATTTATAAAAATTCAATATTCAATGCATTATTATATAGTATATATGCCTTATACTTATCATTAGTTAGATATATAAACACAAAAATCACAGTGCAAGTTATTTCATTCAAGTCAAGAACATGATTCAAACCAAATAATAGGTATGAACACAGAGTTAAATTCTCTAAATATTAACCAAATCATTTTACATGGATATTAAAACCATAGAAACAGTATGTTTTTAACTTTAAAGTGGTGTTAATCATAATTATATAATAAAACAATAATAAATAGCATAACTTAAGACAATTAATACTTCTTTGATCCCCGGTGTTCATTTTTTAATTCTTTAAAATCAAGATAAGTGTTGAGCAAGAATTGAAAGTACAATGATTGCAAAAAATATTTGTTTTACTAAAAATGGAACATAAATTAATATTTTCAGTCTTGCAAAAGAAATTCTTCATGAAATATTTATTATACATACTCATTTATACTTAAAATAAAATTAACTCTATAGTAGTACTATGATACGATTGTTGATTTAAATTACATAACATATTAATCTAAAAACATAACAAAAACAATAACTAAATATAAATTAATTGCTTATAACTTTTTCCTTAACAAAAACTAAATATAACTTTCTAATTTGCGATTTCACTGTTTAAGGTAATTTTAAGTTGACAAATAATTTTTAAACAAAAATATTATAATACAAGCAAAACAATAAATACAATATTTATTTTAATCAATTAAATGTTGACAGTTTACTAAATATATTGTGCATCTATAGTTAATTAACAATATTTAAACACAAAACTAAAAAAGTCAACTAAGTAGTAAATAGTATAAAAATATCAAATTACTAGTATAAAATATAAGTATAATTAAATATTTAAATATTAGATAATTAAGGAAGTCAATGTATACATACATTTATATAAACAGACAAATTAAATAAATTTAAGTTAAAATGTAAATATATTTAAAGTATAAATTAAATTTCTTAAAAGTAATTTATCTTAATGTCATTTTTTTTTTTTAACTACTTATCAAGTTAATTTATTACAACTTACTATGCTTCAGTAGTATCATAACACCGTGTTACCAATAATTCCCTATTATATGCATTATGGGTCCTATCTGGATGCCGTCTCTCTATTTCAGGATTATTATATTGATCAACAGGTCTATATTCCGAACCAGATGCTTCTTCTTCAGCAATTTGATCAAGATCTGAACCAGGAGAATTTTGCTGTTGACTTTGATTCTGTTGTCTTACTTTATGTTGTTGCTTTGTATGCATAGCACCAGTCTCTGCGTCTGGTACCAATCTTCTGCCTGATCTTGTTCTGGTCAATTGGCGTTCTACATAAGCAGCTAAATCTGATTCTGCTTTGCGGTTAATGAAATGATTCAATATGAGCAAAAAGATACCAATTAAACTTGAAGTTATACCAGTTATTACAAGTTCATTAACCCAATTTTTTGAACCCCAAGAAACATAATCATCAGGTATAATACCAGACCCAATCAAAAAAAGACCCAAAACTAGAAACACCACACCAACATGAAGCATGCCTATGCTAGAAGCGACTTTGGTATCAAGCATTTTAGGTGGTCTCTTTCTTCTCCTTGGTCCTTGTGATAGGCTACCAACAGATCCATGATATTCTGTTGGGCTCGTTACTGTAGATTTAGAACCATGAATCCCACTTTCTATTGATTGAGAACTAAGGCGACGTCTTTCCATGTGTCGTTTAAGTTCAGCTCGTCTCTTACGTTGACGTCGAATCGCCAAAGCTGACTGCAAACCAAAACTATGCATTCTAAAAAAAAAGAAAAATACACAACAAAAATGTATCAGTTTATTATTTGAAATTTAAAAGTATTAATTTTTAATTAGAGATTACAAATTGTCTTACCTGTTATTTGAATGCGACTTTTGAGCTTTATTAAATTTAAAAACTGGGATTTTAAGCTTGTAGATTTTACGTGTTACACTTAATTTAACAACATCTATTCGTTAATGTTATATAAATGACGTTTCAATAATGAACACTAATCACACAACTCCCGATTTGATGAAAAAAATCAAAACAAAACGCAATATTATAGTATCGAACAAATGTGTTCAACAGACGACGAGATAATGTGTAAATAAAGTAAACAACGTAAGGTCTGCATGGAATAATCAAGGGTAGTAGTAGGTATGTAGAGAGGAGAAATATAGTATTGATCTACAGCAGTGACGGCAAAAACCGTACGTTACTATAGAAACTGTGAGCGTACTAGCGTAGAGCTCGCGATTTATTTCATATTACACCTATAGAAAAATAATTTATTTTTCCGTACTCAAATACATTATTGTTTTACGAAACTTTGTTGATTTGAAAAGAAAAAAAATGATTACGTTACCTTATTATAATTAAAACAACAGTTATACTTTGTACCTACTATATGTACCTAATATTGTATTAATGCATTATTAATTCCACAGTACCTTTAGAATAATAATATAGACGATAGACCCTATTAAGATAGATAATCCTAATTTATCATCATATTAAAATAACGTATGCAATATTGAAATGAACGTTCATAGTTACGTAATACTAGGTAGCGAGAAACAGATAATTTATACATCTATAACCTAGTTGTCTCTTATTTCAAAAATAAAGGAGCTTTCAGACTATTAACCGATATAATTGTTGACATCTATCTATAGAATCACTGATATGTTCGTTTAATATTTACGATCCATTAATCACATATAATTTATTGCTTTTTAGTAATACGTACAATGTTTCAATAATTAACACCTAAGCTAAAGCGCTAACTTCTAATAAGTATTTGACAAATGACTTAAATGTATAAAAAGTCGGTATTAATTTAAAGCGTGTGGATACAATTTCCAAAATGAGAGGCTTAATAAATACTATTTTTTTTTTAAATTTTGTACGCTAATATACCTTTAAAATGTAGAATTATGCAAATTCATAAATAAATAAACCTAATATGTATAAATAAGTGCATAATAAACATACAACTACACGAACGTCATGGAATTAGTTGGTTTTTCCAATTATTTTACGTCAAATATAAACATAACAAATCATCGCTAACATTTAATTAGTATTGTTGAAAAAAAAAATTATAGTTAATCTTGGAGTTATAATTTTTAATTATAATAATAAAAACCATATGAAAGTATAAAGTTCACAGAAATAAATCATTCTAGTTCTAGATATTATTTATTTCAGTAATTAAATAAATTGATTTTTAAATAAGATTATCTTCTAATTTTGATTATATATACCTATTCTTTCTAACAATACATCAAAACATCAAATATTTCAAGTCTTAAAAAACTTGTAAATCTAAAAACTTCTATAGCAAAGAATTTTTTTTTGAAACATGTTTCATTTATGAATACAGCAATAGAGTAAAAGTTCTATACTATACTCATAATCCTGTTAAAAGTATTGTATTTTATCTAGAAAAGTAATAGACAATAGTAAACACAGATACTTTAAAAGCAAATCATTAGAAACTATTTATAAAAATCTAAAATACAGTACTAAATAAACGCACCAAAAAATATTACAAGACAATATTTACTTACACCCCCCTCTATACTAAAAACTTGTTTGAGTATTGTCTTGCCTACTACTTCTTATTAGAAAATAGTAGGATTTTCAAAATTATTTTTTTATATTAAAAAATAAAAACATGTTTATTGAATAGGATATTATTTCATAGTTATAAGATTTTGAACATCAATTTTACATATACAATATTTTGTTATTTTTTTTTTTTTTATATTATTTAAGAACTCCATTCATATACTCTCTAGAAAAAAAGTATATCCCTCAGCTCATAGGAAATTCAAGCATAAAATCTGCATACCCAGAGCATACAATTATGGTAAAAATTTTTAACATAAGGAATTTACTTTAAAGTTATATGAAATCAACCATTTGCTGCTTTTATTATATGTTTAAAAAAAATAATATTATGAAATAACTAATCCCTGAAACTATTCTAGAGAAAATATAGATACAGTTACAGTAAACCTACTATTTATCTGAAACCACACAAACTACCAAACTTAATTTTCATACTTATTACTCAGTTACACCAAATGAGTTTGGAAAGTGTATTACCTGATTACTACCTTTAAAAATAAAAATAAAAAACTCAATGTTTGGTATCTCCTTTACTTATAAATTATAATTAGTGTCATTAAATATTAAACTCATATTCTATAAAACTCTATTAAAACTTAATTTGACTTATGAAATCTTCACATAAAAATTAGGAGAGCCTTTAAACATATAAGCTACACAATTATTCCAATCCATAAGCTTGCCTAAAGTCAGAAAAGTAATTAAGTAAGTTACAAATGTATTAATGTTTTCTAGCCATAAACTAAATAGAAAATACGATTGCTAAAACCACATTATTGTGTACCATAGATTTCACAAAAATACCAGAACAATAAAATGTAGAATTCAAAAACTTATCCAGAAAATTCAATAAATTTATTACGTTAAATTTGGTTCAGAAATATTTTTTTAACAAAACCTATTAAAATTAGGTGTTTCAACTTCTATTTATTTCAAAGCTAAGTGTATTTCTTACATTTACAAATAAAACTATTATTTTTACCATATTTTTTACACAAATAATAGTTATTCAATAACAATAAAAATAATAATAAACAAAAATAGTCTATTATAAAAAATATGTTTCTTTTAAAATTTAATTTATATTTAAATAATAGTAAAAAGAATAAAAAAAAATACTTAATTTTTTTTTTAATGGACAAGTCGATTAAAAAAGATAAACTTTTACAAAGGTAATTTTTGGCTTTTATCATAATTATAATAGGTTTTACTGCACTACCACTGTCTGTTGATAATATATATATATATTATTACATAATAAGATCATGAAATAGATAACATTAAAAAATTATACTTAACTATAAGCTAATATTATATAGTTCATACCTAAATTATATAAATTTTGTGGTTTGAGTAATTAATTCAAGATAAAAATATAAAAATACATATTTAGTATTCAAAACTAATTAATTTAATTTTTGTATACTTTCAGTCAAAACAAAAAATAATAGAGTTGAAAAACTATAGTATTTTTCAGTTGTTTCTAATAAATTCCAATTTTATTCTTTATTTTCTATAGAAATTATGCCTAGAAATCATTTTATTAAATATGATATTGCTATTAACAGTGATGCACATAGGGAGGATCAGGGAGTCAACAACACCCCTCAGATAATTGGTGGTTTAGTAGGTGACTGGTTATGTACAAATTTGGATGTTATTTTAATTAATATTTTACCAAAAATACTTAAAAATAAGAGTTATACTATGCCTAAACTTAGATTTGACTGTGTGTGGGTGGATTACTCGAGATATATATGTTCAACACCTTTGTGAAAAATCTACTGTTTGCCACTAGCTTACTCAAAATTTATCTAAGTAAAACATTCATGAGTCATGACTAATGCAAATATTATTCAGACTCAAATTTCTAATTATTAGTACATCTATAATAGTGTCAAGTGGTCTATTTAACTATTTGTACTTGAATACCGAATATTTTCAATGGGTTATTACCAATAGCATATAACAATTTTAAAAATTAATTATTAGTTTCAAGGCTCTAAATATTTTCAAATATCTATTTAATTAATTATTTGTCTAAAATAAATTAAAACATACATTTTTTTTATATATAAATTTGCTATTTTTAGTTTACAGTTAGTATTATCCATAACAATAGCTAATGAAATGTTGAAATATTTACATAGATATTTAAATTTATAGAAAGTGAACAAATTTTAGAAGATCAGTTATTTTTAACTGTACTATTTTTAAGTTCTATGTAAGTAGATATATAATTTCACTTATAAGATATTTAACGAAAGCATGTGATAACAATTATACAGTTGTTATTAACAGTTTAATTATATATAAATTATATTAAAACTGATTTTTATGTTTTGTTAGACTATATTGTCATTAGAATCTGTTGTTTAGTATATTATACAAATACAGGAAATTTTCCAAAACCCTGAAATTAACTTTTTACATTTTACCCAATATATCTTATAACTGGTGTCATAAATTATAGATGATACAAGCTGAACATTTAAATTAAATATATTTTTTTTAATTATAATCATTTCTACATTTGAACAAAATAATGCATTTTCTAATTTTTTCAACAGTTTAAAAATATTTTATTAATTAAAGAATACACAGCTTAAAGTTAAATAACAACTAAATTATAATTATTTAAATTATTCATTTTAAAATTAAAATAAATATATTTTAATTTTTACAGTACGAAATGAGAAAAATTCACCTAAAATATATAGGTAAATTTAAGCAAGATGTAAAAAATAAAGTCACTGTATGAAATATAGCAGGTGTGTAGGTCTGTAGACTGTAAGTAGTAGGTATAACGTAAATAAAATAATAGTATTTAAATATACAAATTTAAGTCTGGAAGTATAGTCCTAAAATAGGAATAGATAATATTTTTTTTATAAAATCAACAATAATTTTGTCAATTATTGAAATAAAAGTAGAAACAGACTACTTAAAATTAATATTAAAAATTAAGTAGTTGTATATTATAATAATAATTATAAGTAGTTATGAAGAAGAAATTATTTTATCCTAACAAAAATAAGTATGAATTAAAATCATAAAAATTAACAATAGTTGCTTAGACTTATTTTGAAGCAATCTAAGAGTTAGGTTCAAGGCACTTAAAATAATAAGTCATTTAAGCTGTTTTCAGCCTGAGATTGTATAATAAAAACATCTTAATCCTAGGGTATAATAATTATTCAAAGATGATGAGCCAAATGAGATGAATATTAATTTTATTTCCTATTGTAAAATTTGGTAATTTATTGTTTTCAAGTATATAAGAGTAAATCCTACTTAATAACACTGATTATGTTATTGTTGTTAAGTATTTAAATTTTAAAAAAATAATATTTTTAAAGTATTAGAAAAAATTTTCTTCAGTACAGTCAATATTTAATATTTTAATGCTTATAATTAGTTTGGCATTTTTTCTGAAATATAGAATTGATAAATTTAAATTTATAACAACTAATATATTAATCAGAAGATTCAAAATACAAACATTAACATTAATATGGTTTATATTTTAAAGCTATTTTAATTTTAATAATATAAATCTTGAATAATATTCATAGAAGTACAAGTTATGTTCTGTACACTTTTTATTTCTAAGTTAGTTTTAGTTAATTAGTATTAGAACAACTAGGGTAGCCAAACTTAATAATTCCAAACATACATTTAGTACCCCTAATTAACAAAATATTTTTCTTTTACACATTATAATATATATTTGTTTTTATTTTAACATAATAATAAATAGGAATAATTGGACTATAATATTCTTAATATTATTGTACTAATAACTAAAAATAAAACTATTATAATTTATATACTAAATCAGATATATTTTTAATTCATTGATATATGAATAAACATGACTAATAATTTCTATAAATATAAATCATATAATATAGATTATTGGTACACATACACAGAATATACTATAGTCATTAATAATTATAAAAAGTATCTTAACAATGTTGCCCTTAACAATAATTAAACTATTACATTAATCTAGCCATATTAAATGAAAAGTTATTAATAACTGGATATCATGAACTATGTACTTATTTAAACACTGTACAATTTTGTTTCATTACTATGTTCATAAAATACCTAGTGCATTTTCTTCAAACTATTAATGATTAAACGACTAGAGCACTTACTACACACTACCTAGTTAATTTGACTGTTTCCAAAAGATTAATACTATACTATATACTATACAGCTGTAATATTGAAATTTAAAATACAAAAATCAAAATTATCTATGTACCTAATCCAAAATCTAATGTTTGGACTATGGGCCTTATATAAACCCAAAAAATATACTACCTAGTGCAAACGAACCAATATTAAAATATATGAAACTACATTTTAAAATCTAGACTTCAAAATAAATGCTATTAACAGGATTTTGGGAGAATGTCCTAAATATTTTACAAAAGCCGAAAAGGCATTAAATAAATATTTCCACTTACGTAATTTGGTGTTTCGGTATGAGCCTCCTTGCAACAGGTACTGAAGTTGCAATCCCGGCTTGTGTTTAACAGTATTCATACACCCTACATCAAAGAAAGGAATATTATAAGTCAATATGTGTACATTTTTATTGTTATTATTTTTAATTTGACAAGAGCATTTTCCAAAAAAGAAAACAATGCTTGTAAAGGATGCTGACCGTTTCCGTTGATCTGATGTGGAAGCGACAATGTAACGATAATGTTTTCTTAATAGTTGGAACGCATGCTGCCAGATACCATAAACCATTTAAACGTTGTCATATTACTAAAACAATTATTTCAAGAAGCCCCAAACGCGATCAATAACAACAACAATAACGCTATAGGTGTCTATTACTTAATATGTAAATTCTCGGCAGTCAAAACGGATACATCATCAACTCTCAAGTCTCATTACTCCTAATTACTATTCTTTGGTTGCTTATCTATGCTCTGAGGTTCTCAACTCTTAAGTTTCAATATGTGAAAATTGTGAAATGTGAATTAAATAATTTATTTACTTTTATTATTAATTCTACAATACTATCACTACGATAATATTTTCTAGCGACTAGCCGACTAGCCGACTAGCGAGTAGTAACTAGTAATCAAAATAATTAAACCAATAATATTCCGATCACGATAACTACCGAGTAGTTTCCCCGTTGAGTGTGACGTCATACGGAAGTGGTTGCTCACGTTCGTGTATAGTACGTGGGTCGTGTGTATGCGTGCTCGGGACTGTGACTTGTGAGTTGAGGTCCGGAGATACGCCGTGCAGTGCCGTACACCCGTCATTCACGGCCCAAGCGCCGTTATCACAGACCAAGTAAATCTTTTGTTTTTCAAATCTCACAAAAGACGCGTTATCTTGTTTTGATCATTTGATGTAATAATAATAACAATATGTCAATATCGAATGTACATTGTACATTGTAAATCGTAATATTGTGCTATTTCATATTTGTATAACACTCGTATAAGAATTAAGAAATACATTTTTTTTTCGTTCGCGAATAGGATCTTTTTCTGATTCAACCGAGAATCGAGGCTTGATTACGACGATCGGTTTTTCGAATGTATCTTGCACGAAACCCACTTACGGGAATAACTTTGTTAATTCTGGTTCCGTTCTGAAAACGTGTCATCGCGATCGGTGTCATTCACAGCCAAACAAGACTTGTCAACAATAAATTTCATTTTTTCCTTACACGTTCGTGAGGTACCTGAGTATTAAGTAACGACCGTCGACAATGATTGCATTTATGATATCTGTACTATGATTATGAAGAATACCGAGAGGATCTAAGATGAACGTTCAATATATCAATGACACTTTTAACATTAATGGTAGGTGTACTTTCTAAGTTAACTAAATATTATAACAGGCTACAACTCTGTCATCAGTGTGAATGGGTAAGCAAAATATTTACTGATTTAATGATTTAATTGATCATTAAATAGTAGTTTTTTTTAGCCAATATTATTATTATTATTTATTATTTATTGAATTATCGTCTTGTTAGGCTCAAATACAGAAATATAAAACAATTAAACACAATTAGTCATCGTGATAGATAATGATAAGTTAGATATGATATAAACAACAGTAAACATAAATAAGTAATAAGTTATGAACAATATTATATTAAGACCTTTATTAATTTAAATTATGATAACAATCAATATATATATATCACACATTTGTACATAAATTCCCTGACAAAATATAAAAATTATAGTGACAATCATATTGTTTTAAGTCTATCAAAAATAATTAACATATAGTTAGGTCATATATATGCCATAGTTTTCTGAAATTTTATATTTTAATAAATTTGGGAACACAATGACACTACATTAAAGCTAATAGTGAATAGATAATCAAATCAATCAAACAATAGAAATTTTAAATGCAAGAATTTTCTACATCTCCATATACATATAATGCTCATCTAATTTAAATGCGATACTATATCTCTACACACTTAAAATCATTCATATTACAGCTGAACTTTTAATATATTGTTAAGTATAAATAAATTTCTATCAAATTTTTTATGCTGGTTATAGCTTTAATTATGTTTTCTTTTAATTATTATTCAAAAAGTTTCTTCTAAATTTTAATTATACTCAATAATATTTTATTACTATATTTTAAAACATCAGATATAAAATTTATTTAATAATTAAGTAATATCAATGTAATTTCTATAAAATCAAGAAGGATGAAAATAATAACCCAACTTTTCAAATTGATTAATATAATTATAAGTATGTTATAAAGAAAATTATTTCATTATTGTAAATTCTAAAAGAAAATTTTTAAAAATGTTTTTTATACACCTGTTACACTAACAATTTGAATTAAATTAATATTTACTTATTACTGAAATGAAAAATAATTATGATTGATTGTACTTAAAAATTTATTATTTTTATTTTAGAACTTTCAACGGATCAACAAAAACTTTTAATTGAAATTAGACGTCGTAAGGCAGAATTATTACTTGAAATACAGGTTAGTATACAATTATATGTTATCTACATATTTTTTATATATTGTTTTGATATATTAATTTAACCTTGAAAAAGAAACATAAAATAAAATTGTATCTAAAAAATAATTAATAAGTAGGTATAATTTATTTAATTTAAAAAATAGTACTGAAATAAATTTATATGTTTAAATTATTTTGAATAAAACAATTATATCTAATTGGAAAGATTAATATTTAATTAGTTTGATACTGTTATTTCATTAACTTGTAATAGTTTCTATAAAATTAAATGTTCATTTATTCATCTACCGTCTAGGTTATTTTGTTCATTATTATAACTAATGCAAAAATAATTTTTTTATTTGACGATTAGGTTGTGAGTAATGAGTACATTGCTATTGTATTTTGCTTAATTTTATTATCTATATATTAAATAATAAATAATTTAAAAAAAATTGTATCGTCTTTAAAGTATATATTATATTTAACTAATATATAAAATAGAAAACTATTTTTTTTGTTTCAAAGTGTGAATATTTTACTTATCAATACTTTTAAAAATAAAAACTAACAATTAAAAGGTACTTAATTTTTAAAATTTGAATTACAAATCTTTATCTTAGATACAATTTAGAATTTTTCAAAATTAAACAAAAATTGTAATTTCAAATAATTATCATTTAGATAAGTAAAGTACCTATTAATCTTTAACAAATACTCACACTTTAAATTAATGCATGACACATTTTATCATATGGATTATTTCAATCTCATATTAATACTTGAAACAAATAGCTGATAAACTTGCAAAACAATTTTTTGTTGTTGAAAATATACATTATTAACTTAAACTATAAACTTATTATGTTATCTATTACATATTTATATGTTATGTCTAACTACAATATTAATTATTAATTAAAAATTCCTAAAAAAATTATTCACGTGTTAAATCTTGATAGTTTTCAGAAATATGAAAACTCTTTAATTATATTAATATTGCTTTTTCATATGTTATTCATTTTTAATTGTTTTAATTTAACACTTTAAAACTACTAAATGGTGTATTATTTAAAAAAAAAAAAAAACATTTTTAGTGTGAATCTTTATTATTGGAAAATAATACTATGTTTAATATAAATTGTATAACTATTTTTAATATTTTATTTCATTGTTATATTATATTTTATTTTTTAGCAATTGAAAGATGAGTTATCCGAAGTTGTTAGTGAAATGGAAAACATGGATTCCAATGACGATAGGTAATTATTATTCATATTATTAACTTAATTCAAATATATTTAATGTAATTTATAAATTTAAATTTTTTTTTTTTTTAGTAAAAATCAAACCAAAGCTAAACAAATATCGATTGGTCGTAAAAAATTTAATATGGACCCAAAAAAAGGAATTGAATTTCTTGTTGAACATGGTCTACTAAATCACAATGAAGCTGATGTAGCTGCTTTTCTCTATAAAGGAGAAGGATTAAATAAAACTGCAATTGGTGATTATTTAGGAGAACGAAATGATTTTAACGAAAGAGTTCTAAGAGAGTTTGTTTCTCTACACGATTTTACTGATCTCATACTGGTCCAAGCTCTAAGGTAAGAATTTAAATAATATACCTAAAAACCAATATTAAAGTTCCTAGTAAATAATGCTTAATATGATATTAAAATATATATTTTCACTTTTTTGCAATTATATAATAATAAAAGTAGTTCAGGTTGTTCATAGCATGAGATTTATGTTTAATATTTTTTTGTATCAACTTTTCTCTAAATATTTGATAGATATAAGGTATATAGATAAAATATATTTAATACAGTGTAATATAAATATAAAAAGTACTTAACTTAATGTTAAATATAATATAATATAAAATAAATTTATTGAAAACTATTAATTGATAAAAAAATATTTAATTATAACTATTGTTCAATATAAAATATATTTGTAATTGATTATAAGACTATTTAAATCTATCATCAAAAATATAAATTTAAATAAACTACTGATTATTTATTAAACATTATTTCATATTTTTAGACAATTTCTATGGAGTTTTAGACTTCCAGGCGAAGCACAAAAAATCGATAGGATGATGGAGTGTTTTGCAGAAAGATATTGTCAATTAAATCCAAATATTTTTACCAATACAGGTAAAAGTCTTAAAAACTATATAATTTATAATATTATCTAATTTAATATTCTTGTAGATACTTGTTACGTTTTATCATTTGCTATTATAATGTTAAACACTAGTCTTCATAACCCTAGTGTCAAAGATAAACCATCAGTTGAACAATTTATACAAATGAATCGTGGTATCAATAATGGTGGAGATTTACCTCGAGAACTTTTAATTGTGAGTTCAAACATTTATTTTAGAGATTTTCAATACTATTTTTTTAAATATTTTTAATTTTTTGTTCATTTAGAGTTTGTATGATAGTATAAAAACAGAACCTTTTAAAATCCCTGAAGATGATGGTAATGACTTAATGCATACATTCTTCAACCCAGACAAAGAAGGATGGTTATGGAAACAAGGTATTATATTATACATGTATTAAATTACTATAATATCTTACAATTTCATTAAAAATTAAAAATTCTAGGTGGCCGTTATAAAAGTTGGAAGCGTCGTTGGTTTATTTTAAATGATAATTGTCTATATTATTTTGAATATACAACTGACAAGGAACCTCGAGGAATAATTCCACTTGAAAATATTGAAGTACGAGAAGTATCTGATCGCCATAAACCACATTGTTTTGAATTGTATGCAGCTCCTGGGACTACAGATTTTATTAAAGCTTGTAAAACAGATAGTGAAGGAAAAGTAGTAGAAGGTGAGAATAATTTTAAATTTATAACTTATTGATTATTATTGCACTGTTAGTAACAGTTCTTTTTTCTAACTAAAAAGAATCTAACTCTTGGTGTTTGATATAGTTTGTAAAGCAAACTAAAAATTAACATAAATGAACCCCAGACAAGTATAAAATTAACTAGTATTAAAACATAATTACTTATTAGTGTAAGAGAGAAGCTTTTGAAGGAAATACTTGAACATTAATGAAATAATATAATGAATGATTGATTGGTTAAAAATATTTACTATCAATTTAAAAT